TATTTCACATTTTTAAAGGCTAAAATTAAAAAAAAATACGTAAATAATTGAACCGCGTGTACGCGGGAGAATCGCCTAGTGATGATGTACATTGTATTGGACCATATTCAGAACAATAGTAGATTTATATTTGGAATATTTCCAAATATCATTATTATCTATTTAATTATTTAGATTTATATTTTAATGAATATTTTTTAGAATTTTATATTCTAAAAGATATTCATTAATCGAAAGATTTAAAGAGGTTTTGATAAACCACTGTAAAGAGTATTCACAACCCTAAGAGGTTTTGCGAAAGCCCTGAGAAGAGGACTCTCAAACCCTAGTTTGATCCGGGTATTCTCAGAATCAACGAATCTAATTCTATCCCTAGAAGCTTCTGCTCCATCAATATTGGACCATATGCAGAACAATAGTAGAATGATCTAATTCGCAAACGATTTAATTTGTTTTGTCCGCTGAAACCATGTAAGCCATAAATATCATGTTGAGAATTGTGTGAAACCAACTCTCAAGATTTTAGAATAAGTATTTGCTCCATAGAATTATAGTTATTATCAAGATTTTCTTGGCATCGAATTAGAGAATACAATCAGACTGATCCAAATGAGAAACTAGATATATTTGTCCATTCCTGTATGGTCGTCACTTTGAAAGGTAATCCCATAAGCAGGAAGAACAAGACATTGCGATGAGTAATGGGACCTACATGGTGACAACTCAACGGACCATTGGGACATAAACACAGAGAAATTACAAACGAAGATGAGTGCGTGGGAATCCGACGTACAACACCATCTCTCATCCATTATCGTACGGTCACTATTCATCTTCATAAAATAGATTCGATTTCACATTATTGATAACGATTGCAACTCATCATCATTATATTTATATTTGACTACTAAAAGAAATTGACCGATACATTATTGTGACTTTGTGAGCTTATATAATGATTATTTCGGACATTAGTTATAGATTTTAGGTTACGAGAGAGTTGTGTAATTGTATGGTAAATACTAAATATACATATTAATTAGGTCTAGCGTCCAAGTTTTTTTTTATTTTATGTGTATATAGCTTTAATCATGAACTACAGCTTGATTAGTAAAAGCAACGTTGTTGTTTATGTACGAGATGTTAAAAAGAATACAAATATTATATTTGTTGGTAAATGTTAGATAACTAGGAGAATTATACAAGAAAATAAATGTAAGAGTTATTTTGAGACCAACAAAATAACTCCTTTTTTTTAAGTAGAATTTTTATAATAAGTCTTAAAACATTATATTGAAGAGTAAAAAGACGACAGAAATAAATTTATACTCTTACGATATTGTAATATATGATATATTAAAAGATTTCAGCAGCAGAAAATTTATGGATATGAAATTTTTATATGTATACACAAAACACTTATATGAAAAGTAAGGTACGATTTGAATAGATATATACAAAAATTAATAAACGGCGGCTTTATGTTCTTGTTCCAAATCACGTTCCGAATTGGTTCACATTATTCTTCATTCCATTGTTTAAATATATCAATATTATATAATATGAGATCGAGGCCACAACAATTATGTGTCTCTCTCTCTTCCCACATTCCCATGTATATATATACAGATGCTTGGCTTTTCCTTTTACT